AATGTGAGAGCATATTTCTGTTATAGGGCTCTTAGAGGGTTGCTTTGTTTCCTTTTTACTTTACTTTTATATATGTATTTTCATATTTGTGAGTGCTCTGTATGCTTTGTGCTTGATGGAATTTTTGTGATGGATATCATCTTTTTTCCTTTTTCTGTGTTCAACACCTTCTTAAGCATCTCTTGAAGAGGTCTGGAGGTGGCACATTCTCTTAGAGATTGGATGTCTGGGAAGGATTTTAACTCTCTATCACTAATGAAGTTTAGCTTGGCAGGGAAGAAAAATTCTTGACTGGAATTGCTTATCTTTAAGAACTTTAAAGATTGAACTCCAGTCCCTTCTGGCTTTTAGTGTTTCTGATGATAAGTCTGGAGCTATTCTGGGTCTTCTCCAGTATGTAGTCTAATATTTCTAGAGTCTAACATGTCTGACTGTATAATTTTATCTTTTAAGCTTACGTTGTAGAGGTGGATTACTCTGTGTTTTGGAGTTGATCTTCCCATGTGAAACCTTGTGAATGTTCACTGAAACTCTTGAATTTTAGTGGTCACCTCTCTATAAAGATGTTGGAAGTTTTTTAGGATGACCTTATGGAATGCCTCATCTATGGTGGTCTCAGTTTCTCTTTCTGCTTCAGAGATACCAATCAGGCATAGACTTGGTTTCTTGACATAGTCCCACATCTTTTAGAGGCTTTTCTCCTTTTGAGGCTTTTTTTCCTGTATTTTTGACATACTGGGTTAATTCCATATTTTGGTCTTCAAGCTCTGAGATTCTTTCCTTTGTGTGGTTGATCCTGATCTCTCTGCTTGTTACTTTGTTTTTGATTTCCACGATGGAGTTCTTGATTTCCATTATTTTAGAATAGGGTTTTCTGAATTAGCCAACTCTACTTTTATTTCCTGTTTGACTTCACTGAGTTTTACTTCTAGTTTCTCTTGGTTTTCGCTGTGCATTTTAGTCCTCCAGTCTCTGATATCTGTGACTGTCATCAGGGGCAGGTGGTTTAGTGGGTTTCCATTGTCTGTGCTCTAATAGCTGCTTTTTAAGGAATTGTTTCTTTAGTACTCTAAGGGTTGCCTATTTTTTTGTTTATTTTTCCTTATTTGTGACAGGTCACTTTTCCCTCTCTGTAATTCCTTTTTCTCTGTTCTAGGACGTTTTTTTGTGGTTCAATATAGGTTACTCAGTGAGAGAGGTAGAGACATTTACTTCTGCTTCTTACTTCACCCTGTGGCAGGTTTCTCAGTTGTAGCAATTTCACCTGCTATCACTCTGTGGTGAGTGGGTGGGGGAATGGATGCCCCTGTATGTTTTTTGCAGTTTGTATCCCAGAAGCCTTCCCACCATGAAAAACCTTCAGGTCTCTAAATTATTCCATGACCCTTTTTTATTCTCTAAATCCCACCCCATCACAAAAAGCAACAAATAAAAACATCTAAATTAGAATTGCAAAACAAAATTTATTTTCATAAGTACAGTCCTATTTCCTTTATCTCCTTTTCCTCTCAACTTTATTTTTACTTTCCAGGAGAAATTATGATCTACAATATTTTTCGGATAAATATTTTGCCAAAAAGCAACTTGTTTTCTGATATCTTAATGTCCTTTGTAATGCAGCAAATGAGAAAAATAGATAACATATAAGATATGATGCAAAATACTGAAGATAACTAATTTTGCCTCTGTGTCTTCAGTGTTGCCATTAGTTATTAACTTATCTAGCATTTTATTATTATTAAAATGCAAATATTCTTGGAGAAGGAAGTAAATATGCTGTTATCAAGTAGGCACAGCTTCACTGTAACATTGAACTAAAAATAACTTTGGTCATATAATAGGTAATTTTTGACAAGCAGAGAGGATTCTGTGTACAATATATGGTACTTTTAATAAAATCAGAGTTGAGTAGGACCTTGCTGAGAAGACCACAGGAAAGCTAGGAAACTGCTTGTGAAATTTGAGCAATCCCCTTACCTCAGTCTCCCAAAGTGTTGGGATTATGAGCTTTAGCCATTGCATCTAGCCTAAAAAATTCTCAATTTTTATATGTGACCCAAATTTAAAATTTTTCATTCACTTGTTATACCATTGTAATATAAAAAAAGATTATGCTTCTTGCAAATGGTGTTTAAATATTTATATCCATATATATTTGGACACTATTCTCTTAGTATTTTTTACTATATTTGTGTACACTTACTATCTACAACATCTTGGTTATTTGTTACATGTAGGCCATATCTAGATCATAGTTTGTAGCATCACCTGATTTATTATCTAAGATAATTTAAATTTTTAATAATGTTACATCAAGCTTCTTGACAACAACTACTCCAAACTTTATTTATTAAATTATTTTGCTAACTTGGCATGCCAAATGGAGAAACCAAATTTAGGTGCACATCAATCAAGGAGAACTGTCTAAATCATGCTGAAAAATATTCCAGTGTTTCAAATTTAATTGTCTCCTGGAATTGCAATCAGCCATAGAACAATATATTGAATTTTACAGAACTGATCAAATTATCTAGTGTTAATTCAATTATCTAATGTTATTCAATATTATATTAATAATCAATATTTAGGTATTTTTATTTGTTGCTTTTTTGGGATGGGGTGGGATTTAGAGAATAAAAAAGGGTCATGGAATAATTTAGAGACCCTTAATAATTATCGAATGTTATTCAGGAAATTTTATCAACTACTTTTACCAAGTTCAGTATGTATTACAATCTATATTAGTCTCAGCCAGGGATGTAAGAGCCAGTGTTTATGATGAAAATTACAACTAGTCACCATCATTCTTTAAAGTCCATTAGAAAGTTGCTGTTGATAATAAATTAACCATCTCTAAATATATAAGTATAGTTTTTTTCTCCCTACTTTCTGAATATACATAGATGAGCATTTCTTCAATAGATAGCAAAACTTCTCTATCACATTTTTCTCCCCTTTCATATTTTTTAGTTATATATGTATATATTTCCCTTGGAACGCTGTTGACCTAATAATAAATTATATCATAAACTATAAGACTAGCCTAGTGGTCTAACTAAAAACTAAATGCTATTTTGTTCATGATTCATACTTTTGATATTTTGATATTCAGTTTTGCTGTGATAAATAAGTAGGGAGAATAAAATATGTTGATGGTTGAATAAGCATAAAAATATAATAATCTCAAAGCAAATATGTTTCATCAGAACAGGAACCATAACTAAAATATAATTTTCACAAACATTTGGTAAGTGAATTTTTTATTAATAAATATTTTGCAATAGATATCATTCTATTTGGCACTGTGAGTGATGGAAAATAAATGACAAGCTGTCTAAATTAAAAGATGTACAAAAGATATGATGCCAAACAGACATGTAACAAACCATTAATCTAATCATTACATTTGCAATGTGACAGTTAGTGAGATAGAAATCTAGAGAAGTGAGATAAATTTACAATAATTTGGAGTTTTTCTTGATTAAATTAGTAACCAAAAATTATCACAATAATTTTACTGAGCAAATAAAACATGTGTTTCAGGTACCTGACTTCATTCAGTCATCATAAAATCCCTAAAGTCAGAAATTAACATTTGCATTTAGGTGAAGAAACAAAATTCCAAATGTGCAATTCACTTAATCTCTCATATGTGGTAAAGTAAAATGTTGCATGTGAACACAGGTTCACACAACCAAAAGCCCAAACTTTTGCTCATATTCACATGTAAAAATTTTTAAATGAAAAATTATTATTTGAAAACTCAAAATTTAGGTAGTCTTTCTAATGATAACTTGAGAAACTAGAAACCTTTTCCATAATTATTTTGCACAATTATTTTTGGTCAAAATTGGTATTTTTATTGTTTTCTGACTCTTTAAACATTATGTCAATATATTTAACGTATTTGTTAACATTATCTCCTGGGTATATTTATCTATTGAAGATGGTTATTTAACTGATATTTTACATAACTGCTCTAGAAAATAAGAAATAGGATTTTTTCTCTTTCAGCCTATTTTTTCCTAATATGTATTAAGTGTTTAAATATAGATCTGTTATTCAGCTTGAGTCACCTAGAAATGTAGTTGTATAAAAGTATTATTATATGTTTTTCAATGCATACAGAAATGATTGAAAAGAGCACAATCGGATATATTTCAAGAGATTTATAGCTTTAAATGTAGTAAGTTAAAAGGGTGCTCCACTATTGGAATATAATATAGTTAGAAGTTGAGTGTCTCTCAGTAATAAAGATTTTGAATAATAAAATCTGTAATCAATATTGCAATATTTATGTGTAAAATATGCACTTTGTATTAAATCAGATAAAATACATATCACAGACAAAGGAGAGCTCTTATATTAACAGGACACGTTGCAGACTGGGAACATTGTAAGTCCCATGAGACGGTGGCACGTCCCTGATCTTCTTGGAGGGTCATAGTGACTAACAGGGACAACTTGTGGAGTGTACCTGATCAAGAGGTCAAATAGCAAGTGACTTTGGGTTCATTACCATTTACAACAAGTTTACTAAATGCAGCTGAAACCAACTGGAAATGAAACTACAATGCTTGCAATAGAAATGTTGTCACTGTTTTAATAAACTGAGAATGCATAAACCTATGCCAAGTCTGTCTCCAGCAACATAAGTTGTCACTTCATGGTATGAAAATCTACCCACAGTAACAAGTACAAAGCAGATAATCAATGCTAGATGATTAACAGAATAATTTGAAATTGATTGTCAAGATGGGTCAAGAATATTAGAATTTCTGAATCACTGTGACTAATTATTTTGATTCAATATATTCCAAAAAACAGTTTCTTTAATTACTATAAGATTTCTTCTCCTTACAATTAGAATAAAACATATATCTTTTGAATATTTTAAATTAATACATTACATGGATTGTATATATCTCTAGAAAATATATCTTTAAAAATAGGTATAGGTATAGGTGTATGACATTGAAAAGTTTTAAAATGTTTTGCAGATTTGTGAAGCTGGGAATCATTTCATCAATGTAATGTTGTCTCATCCAAATCACACAGGTCAGTTCCTTTTTTTTATCTTCTCTAGAGTGAATTATTTTAACAATTAGTTTTGAAAGATTCACATCAAAATATTTAAAAAGTAGTAGCAATAGTTAAAATATTTACAATAATATGCTATGAATTTTTGATGATTTATGCCTGTTTTCCAAATATCTGAATTAAGTCACATTTCTAATAATGATTTCACTAAAATAAAGTGTGCCTGCACACAACCATACCCTCCACACACTAAACAACAATCTCACTTATATATGTGAAAAGTAAACTGATGATTAAGAAATAAATCAGTTTGAAATCAACTGATGCATATCAAATCCATAAACACTCAATATTAGTCTATTTTGGCTAATATCTAGTCCTACTAGTTTATAGTGTCTAATATTTTTGTGAAAACCATTGTCTTATTTTAATTCAGTTATGAGGGAACACCCCTCCAAAAAAGAGAATGAAAAAACCTGAATTATTTTTTGAAGGACAGATCCCTTGTAGTCCAGGCTTGCCTCACTAGGTAATGGTTCTACGAAACCATCGGCATCAGGAATCGGTGTAACAGCTAGCATTGTTGTGAGAGGCTGCTTTTGACTTCAGTGGATTATTATTATTATTTTTTAATTATTTTGACCCGTTTGCCCATTTCATGTTGGGTGGTTTAGGAGCCCACCTGCTCATACCAGGCTGAAAGTTCTGTAGTTTTGACGGAAACCAGCATGACCCCCATACCCCACCCTCGCTGTTCACCAGATCTCACCCCAAGGGACTTTTTTTGGTTGCTTGTTTTCCCAGTGAAAATATCCTCAAAGGGACATGGTTTGCCATTGTGGAAGGGGTGAAACAAAAATCAGCAGAGAAATAAAAAACACCAAAATTAGAAGTTCAAGAACTGTTTTGAGCAGTGGAAAAAGCATCTCAATAGGTGTACTCCATCAAATGGAGAGTACTTTGAAGATGACTGAAGTTTAAATATGTAAGAATAAATACACAGTTTTTTTTAAATAAATTCAATTTTTAAGGTCATCCCGTGTTTCACAGGTGGCAGAAATTGATACGGAAAGAAGTTTAAAAGAGGTTTATTAGAAAGTGTGAAAAAAAGAGAAGGAAGGAGAATTATGCCAAGTGGGAAGTTGAACTGTAATGCAGTACAAGGGTGGCCTCAGTTATCTTTATATGGTATCTAAAATGAGGATAAACCCTTTAAGGTGTTCTGAGTTGGAATGACTGGAGACAGAAGAATTGGTGTGGGTTTGGGTCTCTCTGGGAAGGAGGAATGACCTTGGATAAGGCAGCTTTCTTTAGCCAAGGGTATCCTCTCAGAAGTTTCGAAAATTAAAAGTTTTCTGCTACCAGCACTCCCAGCAGTTGTGGAAGATGGTCATCCTTCCTGATAAATATCTTGACAGCAAATCACAGCATTTATCAATTCCACTCTTTTTTTTTTTTTTTTTTCCAAATCCACTTTATCTACTCCCTGGGAACACTTCCAGTATAATGCTAATTGTCCTCTATTTTTAAGGGAATTTAAAAAGAAACAGGCTAGTGGAAAACCATTTGGCTTTCACCACTGCACAGGTCATGATATAACAAATAATTTGCTCCAATTTTCTTCTCTGCAGACCTCTAGATTTTTCTCAAGCTCAGCTAGGACATTTGATGTCTCAGGGATTATCTATTGGCATAAAATGGGACCTCATTTTGATGGTTTGAAGTTCTGTCTCCTTGCTTCTTTCAGAACAGGGATGTGCTCCTTGCCCATAGACCAGGGGAATACCAAGAAATATTCAAGAAGATTACTTAGAAACAAATTTAACTCTCTTTACCTCATTGTATAAGAATAGGTTTGATGATAAGGGTCAATTATCCTGCTAAAAGTAGTGAATCTGTCACCATAAGAGGGTCTTCAGTTTCTTAGATTCTTGTTCTGAAATAAGAAATGTTCAATCAGTTGATACAGAAAGATTCTAATTCAACCATAAGCTAAAGTTTATTGTTGAATTAAAAGTGTACCTTACCTCTAAGTTGGTACTTTAGTTGTGTCCTCAATAAACTGATGTATCAACTCATTAGTTTGGCAACTTCTTGATAATGTTATAGTGGATATGAGAAGTTGGTCCCATGGTTATTGGTCTATTCCTTGAAAAGTGAATGACTTAAGCTAACATGCTATGAAAATATATATTAATCACTAAAGTACTGTATAAACCCTTAAATAACAGGACTGACTCAGGACCTAAAGGAAGAAAAATAACACAGTATGTATCTTTTCCTATAAATATGAATTGATGCCCACTGCAAAATAAATGAAATCCAATAAATCAATTTATCATCATGTTGCTACACAATTTCCATGAGAGATAAAGTCTTACTATAGTCTCGCTGATCTTTCTATAATTTAATTTTTTATTTGTATAGATTTAAGAGTACAAGTGCAGTCATGTTACATAAATATATTGTGTAGCCATGAAGTCCAAATTTTTAGTTTAACCATCACCCAAATAGTGTGCACTGTACCTATCATTTTGAGTCTCCAGTGTCTATTATTCCACTCTGGATATCCATGTATACTAATCCATGTATACTAGTTTGTTTGTTTGTTTGTTTGGTGGAGGTGGAGGGCTGGTTTGTTTGCTTTTGCTCTCAGGGTAAACTCAGCAGCAGTAGTTATGAATACCCTGGTAAGTGGGAGTCCATGCAATTGCACTCAAACAGTTTTGATCCCTATCAGTATACTCCATTCATGCATACATGTGCTAGAATTGAGTTACATCATTAAAGAGGCTGACTGGCATTAACTGCTTAGTCATCTTTTCTGCCTGGTTCTTTTTTCTCCTCCATCACAGATACTCCCTGTGGGAAATTAATATGATAGAAAGATCTTCACAATTCTTGCTGACATTTATGGGCATGCTTTCAACCTTGACTTGTTTTTCCATTTGCTAAAGGCTGTGATTTTGTATATATTATCGCTTTAGATCCCTCTCTTTCAACTCTAGGAATTCTACCCATAACAAAGTTCCCCCTTCACTATTATCTTTTAGGGTGGTCCCCTGAACGTGACTATAATGCAGCTACTATGCATTTTTGGCTTATACTCACATCAGTGAACTCATCCCTGAACCAAGCTCAGCCTTCCTCCTCTGTCAGCTGGCTTTCAGGAATAGGTAGCCAAATATGGATCCCACAGTGATAAATGGCATAGCTTTCTGGAATATCTACTTGCTTGTACACTGTTTTTTGTTGTTGTTGTTGTTTGTTTGTTTTACTGTTTTTCTATTTTCTACTTATGCTTGACTCCAAATATATTACTTTCATTTTGAAATGAAACATTTCTGGGTTCACCTAAACCTATAACTTGGTATGTCTAGCATAACTTAGCTTATGATGATCAGTTGAGACTGTGTGATCACTAGATGTCCCTAAAGTAGGGTCTTCATCTTTATTAAGATTAAATAATATTCTAGGATTTTATTTTTCAAAGAGCTGTAATTCTCCACTACAAGTGGAGTGACCTTGCTCTTGCATGCCAGGATTCACCACTGTGATTATACATTTGAGGTTTGTCATAAGTGCAACGCATTGTATTTTCCACCACTCATAGATGTACTATGTAAAGCATCCCTGATTATAAGATCAAATGCAAAAGTTCTTGTACTAAAACTTGAACCTGCTGTGATTTTCTGTTTTGAGCTCTATTAAAATAGTTCACCTTTTTTTTTTTGCCTTATAATTTATGGTTCAAAACAGTTTTCCCTGATGTGGAATAAAAGAATGTCCTATCTGAAGGAAGTCAACAAGGCATTTTGTATTCTCCTTAATGGTGGGGAATTAAAATTGCATATATTTTCTCTTTTGTAAAGGATATGTTCACAATCATTTGACCTCTAAACATTTTACTAATGTATGATCCCCTAAATATTGTAGTGTGTGTTAATTTCTCTGCATTGCAACCTCTGGACCACACAAGTTTTAACAAGGCCTCAAGTAAGCAAGCCATTCTACTCATCAAATATTAATAGCATAATATTATTCATACATAGTACAAAATGTGATTTTCAGTGAGATGTCCAATCAATCTAGGTTTCCTTAAACTATTTTATGACAGGTGGGCACATTAAGTTATACCCAAAACAACATTACAAATGTATGCTGTTGGCCATTTTAAGGAAAACAAAACTTGTCTGAGCCCTCTTTTATAGAGATAGAATATGCTGGGGTCGGTGGCTCAGCCTGTAATCCCAGTGCTTTGGGAAACCGAGGTGAGTGGCTTGCCTGAGCCTGCAGGTTCGAGACCTGCCCGAGTAATTGGTGAGACCTCATCTCTACAGTAAATCAAAAATTAGCCGGGTGTGATAGCGCGCACCTGTAGATCCAGCTACTTGGAAGGCTGAGGCGGAAGGATCGGCAGAGCCCAGCATGTCGAGGCTGCGGTGACCAGGAGCATGCCACTGACTCCAGTCTGGCCGATGGAGTGAGACTCCAACTCAATAAATAAATAAATAAATAAAGATAGAATAAAAAAGTCAACTCAGCGGCCATCTCCTTATATGCAAGTTTAGATTAATTTACTTTGCAAAGGTACTATATCTGGTAATCAATTGCATTGGTAAGTAATACTTGATAAAGTTTGCAGTACTACACTGTCATCCTCCAAATTAAACATCTGATTTTTTTCTGGGGCTAGTGTAGTGAATTAAATGGTGATCTAGTGGATAACATCACCCAAACATGCTTTCAGCTGGGAATAGTGGCTCATGCCTATTATCCCAAAACTGGGGGAGGCTGAAGATCACTTGAGTTCAGGCGTTTATGGCCAGCTTGGTCAACATAGTGAGGCCTCATCTCCAAAAAGAAAAACAAAATAATCAAGTGTGGGAGCATAAGTCTGTAGTTCCAACTACTGAGGAGGCAGAGATTAAAGAACTGCTTGAGCAAAGGAATTTGAGGCTATAGTGAGCTGTGATAGCACCACTGCACTCCAGTTTGAGTGACAGGGTAAAACTGTGTCCATAATTTTTTTTAAAAAGAGGGTATATTTTACTTCCTCCAGTATGCAGTTTTCTGAATAAATAACCATAGATCATTCAGTGAAGTTCTTTTAGTGAAGATCATGGGAATGATTATTAGGTTCAACAGTTTGTTTGTTTGTTTTTTCTTGTAGTGTTTCCTCCTAAAGTAACAGACTGTTCTTCCATCAACGAGTTTTAAAGCTTGGGACTGATTTAGGTCAAAATACTGGGAAAGAAATAGTTGGTTTTATATTGTGCCAGTGGTCTTGTCTCTTAATTGGTAATCTATAATTAAATGTATTTGTCTAACCTCAGCAATAGCATTGTTGAGTATCCAACTAGTATATAGCCTCTAGGGACACTGTGTTCTATTAATTAGACATGACTTTCTGTGGATGAAGACACCTTTGAATTTGCCAGTTTTGGTGACTTACGGCAATTAAGTGCTGTGGTAGGAACTGGTTTTGATTTGGGGGTGGGAAGGAATCTTTTAATCCCAGCTATTATTAGTCATCTTAATTCTAAGATGACTTAGCTTATACAACAAAGAGTCAATACCAATCTTTGTGATAGTAGTGGTACCTCTTTTACTATCATATTTCCTCCATCAAGAAAAAAGTATATATTTGCTTGATCCTCTCATATAATATAGAAAGAACATGGGAATATGAAACATGGGGGGACAATGCTTCACATAGAAAGAAGCCCTTATTTTAAGCCTTATATAGACTATCTACTCTAGGATTGCTATTTCTTGAAGCCACTTAACACCTTCGTTCTTTGTCTGCCATGGACATTCTAACATTTGTTCTTTGCTGACTGGGTCATTGTTTTGCCTCCAAGTGCATGTTAGTAGTGTCTTCATGCAATCTTAGTAAGATATTTAATCATATAACTCCAGAGAGTACTTCAAAAATATAAGCCCACCTTTAACTAATGCTACATTTTGCCCCTTTTATGAAATACCCTTAGAATCCACTTACATGTGTGTGTGCTTTTTTATAATTTGCTGGTTCATGTTGGCTAGTTCCTGCAGCTTCTTTGGGGGCATAATTCCTTTTTTCCCCATCAGACCCACAACAGACTCAAGGAGTTATAGATAGTGACTAGGAGAAGAAATGCAGAAGATCCTAATAGGGATTATGTTGCAGCATAGTGGTCTCTGCGTGGCCCTGAAGCAAGGGAGTATTAATCTTTAATAAGGAGAAGTGGACGGGGGCGGGGAGGAGGTTGGCAGTAGTGGGAATCTGTGGGGGAAGAGTAGGTGCACATCTCATCAACAAGGATACCTGTATAAGCACATGTGTATACCTAACCCTGAATTGTACCCACATCTTTAAAATGAGACATTAAAAAAAATACACATATATTTAAAATGTTAGCAACAAATTAAATATTTTATTAAGCATCAAGAAAAAAAAAAGTAGAGTGGATCATCTCTTCGGGCTCAGGGAACTCATGAAAACCTAGAACTTTCAAGATATTGTCGTAACCAAACTTTACTTAGCATACCTGCATTGGATTTGAGTTGTATATTCTTTAGAGCTTGGCTATGTTTGCCATTAAGTCCAGGGTTTGCTCCTCAGCATTCTCTGTGCCTTCATTTCAGGAGATCAGAACCTCTTTGCTTGCTACCAGGGAAAATCGCAAACTTTCAAAGTTTACTTTTGTCAACTATCATTTTAAATTTTAGCTATCTTTTTTGAGTGTATGGATAGAAATTTCCACTCAATTCCATTCTTAATATTAGACCAGATAAAACATTTTTTTTCAACGGTACAGCAAACATATCAGTATACCAGCAGAAAAAAGGTTTTTATATTGCATAGCTACCTATAACATTGGGTGTCTGTTTTCTACCGACCACCAGCAGTGGGGTACTTATTGCAAGCTCTTTGGTAAGTCATTCAATTTTAAAATGTCATTCCAGTATCTGCTCTTTGGGTCCATTGATGTTGTCATTTCTGATGTCAACTACTGCATATTGGGCTTTCTGGAATGCATATACAGGAATAGAGATGTATATTTAGGAGGTTTGAAAGGAGTAATTTTTTTAATATGAAAAAAGAAATCATGTTTAAGTAGGAAATTGAGAACAAAACAGTCTAAATAAGAGTCTCTAATAGACATATGGTACATTCCAAAGGTGGGGTGAATAATTCTTTTTCTCCTGAATTGAGTTACCAGTTTGAAATATTGATCAAATATTGGACTAAAGCTTAGCCAAAAAGTGAGTGTGACATTGGGTGAGGTTCCTCCCTTCAGTCAGACAACGCTTATAGGGAGTGCTAAGAACTGAAAACTGTCTGCCAGCGGCACTCCCTGAAGCAGTGAAATAAGCACTTTATGTATGAAGAATCTGGTGGTTCAGCACTTCGAAACAAAATAGCTTGCAACTTTCATTTTATAGAGGCACTATTATGATGACTATAGATTGAGAAAACATACCCTGGGGAATATAAATATTAAAATCGTAACCACTAAATTCCATATTATTACAATTAGCAGAAACTATGTGCAATTGAAATGTTATTATCTATATATGTTTATTTTTCTGTGTCATAAGACATGGTTGTTATTTAAACTACATCTGGAAGAAATGAGGATTTATGGACCCATGATCATTTCTCCACCTCTAGGGGCTAAACACTTATAAACTAGAGATCTTAACTCAGATTATTTTCTGTGCATCTTCCACCTTGAAAATTCAATAGCTATAATTTGTAGGTTTCTCAATTATCTTTCTTTGTATCAATACATGGACATTACACAAAAGTGTCTCCTAAAGTGGTATCAGGAAAATCAGTAATATTAAAAAGCATACATGTTCAGCCTTATTTTGCAATGAGCAGTACATGAAATCTTCACCATACTTAATATATTTTTTAAACTTTTATATGTCAACTGTAGTTACAATTTTGAAAGCAACATTCTGACATTTCTTTATGACTTTAGAGCTATAACTAAAAAGAGATTAGTTGATGAACTATCTGACTAAATCTTAACCATACAGAGTAAAACGGTAATTTTAAAATTCATATTTACTTTTGCAAATGTCACAGCTCAAAGTTCAATTTGAAATACTTAAACATTTGTTATCTAAAATGTTTCTCAAAAAAATTGAAAGGGAAAAATAACTAACAAAAATCAAGTGACAATATGCTAAGTATAATGAGAGATGTAAATAACAATCCTGATTGCTGAGCAGAAATAATTTACTTGGTATTTCAGAATATCAACAATGTTGATTTTAAGTGTAATTCTTTTATGGGATATTTTTACACTTTTATATAAATGACATTGTTATAAAATTTTCTATGATTTTCACTAATTTAATACAAAATGAGATTAGATGTATTTAATAATCTCAACCCAATATATCCTTTTTGAAATTAAAGGAGACTATAAGAAGACAAGCAATTAAAACCATTTGTAATTTCAATATGTCATAGTGCTGAAACTATTATGACACACAAAATAATTGTATATTTTATTTTATTTACATTCTTAAAAAATTGATCTTTCTTATGTGCTCTGAAATTTAACAGCAAATAGCTGTATACATGGTCAGAAAATTACAGTTATTCTATTTGAGTCAAAAGGTCATAACATTTTAAATTTGATCTCTTCTGAGTAATTTGTGAAATAGATTGCTGTAAGTATGTGATGACATTTCATGTGATATGTGATTGGTCTTGGAAATTTAGTTTAATAACATAAATATATGATCAAATTGCCAATATGTGACATAATTGACATTTTACTTTCCTTTTGAAAAGGAAATAATGCCTGTTTTCCAAGCCCAAATTATAATCCTTTCACATGGATGTTTTTCCTGGTCTCATGTCCTAACTACACCTATGAGGTATGCTATTTATGCATGCAATTAAACTTTATTTAATGATACACTAAATGCTTGTGCTTATGCATTTACATGTACTATTAATATGTGATGTAACATATAGGTCATAACTATGAATATGAACTCCGAGATATAGAGTTCAATTCAAGCTATAAGTATTAAAATAAGAACATTTCAACCTTAATTTTCCCTGCAGAAAAAGAAATATTTCTGCAAAAAAATTATCTGTATTTAAATAAGTTTTTCAATCTTTGTATAAAATGTCTTAATATAATTTAAGATTTTAGTTTTTATCTAAGTTTTTAAATAATGTTCTCCATTTTCTTATAAATATGGTACTATGATTATATGAGATATCTTATGATTTTGTTTTGTAACAGTTATTATTTTTATAAATTTATTTCTGCCTGTAAAATTTCTAATATTTAAAATTTTATATTACCTATGTAAGCCCAGAAGTAAACAAATTGCTAGATTAACCATAATATTTGTTAATTTGTTTTAATATAACAGATTGGATCATGGGTTAGCTTCACTGTCATGACACAAACATTGCCAGGTAAGACAAAGATGTATTGATAATTAATCAAAGAAAACGCATCTTAAGGACAAATAGCTTTTTTTTTTTTTTTTTTTGAGTTAGAGTCTCACTCTGTCACCCAGGCTGTGCAAGTGCAGTGATAGACTCACGACCACCACAGCCTTGATCTACTGGGCTCAGGCAATCCTTCCACCTCAGCCTTCCAAGTAACTGGAACCATGCCCATCTTATTTTTGGATGTTGTAGAACCAAGGTCTTGCCATGTTGCTCAGACTGATTTCGAATCCCTGAGTTCAGGCAATCCTCTCATGTCTGCTTTTCAAAATGCAGGGATTATGGGTGCAAATCACTACGCCCGTTTAGGGAGAAACAAGAATAACTTACTATATACTAAAATTTGTCATGTTTGCAAAAGGATTTTATGACTTCATATGGATTGAAAATTTTTGGTTGTATTAAAATATATTGAAACATTATTTGCTATTTATCTCTATATAATTGATGCTTAATTCAAGTTAGGAAATATAGGAAGTGAGGTTTTGTTTAAAAAGAAAAAAAAAAAAGCTGTGGTAACAATGCACCTCACCTGAATTTTGTATGCATGTGCAAAGGGATGTTTATTTGCTGTGTCTTCAAATATCCATGAGTATTTGTGAAGGAAGGGCTGGGGAGTGTGAGAGTTAATCTTGAATGCTCAGCATTTTAATACATACTAAGAAACTGAATTGCATGATCTCCATGTAGTGGAAACAATATGTGTTAGATCCATTTCATCAGTCTTTGTTCTATTGTAAACAAATTTTGGATCACAAGTAATGTGACTTATATTATGTATGTTTAGAGGAGTATTATCTGCATATAGGAAACTTATTGAAAAAGTTAACAACATTTTATTATTTGGAAATGGGATATAAGGCAAGTAGTTTTATTTTGAACTTTGCAATATATTTTCTATGTTTACTCATTCATGCAATATTGATTGACTTTATGCCAAGCAATCGGCATGAGTAAACAAAATTTTAAGAGAATATGCAACATTTGAGAAATATTTTGCAAGCTATATATAGTGGTTCCTTATCTAATATAGCTTATTATATTTATACAGAAATTTTAAAGTAAAAAATATTTATTTTTTTCTTCTAGTTGGAATTTTTACACTTCTGATGAGTATCCAGATGTCTTTGTGGGCACAAAAGAAACATAAGATTTATCTGAAGAAATTCAATTTGTATATGCACAGGAAATCAGCAATGATTCCATTCATATTGTAAGGAAACATAAGTAATTTTATTTCATATATAAAAAGACAAAATACAAGTTTACTAAACATAACTGAGTCAAATGGTTATCTATTATGGTCAAAAATTCAGGAACAACTGTATTTTTACCGAGTAAAAATATATAATGATAATATTTAGTTAAATTGAAAGTAATAAGCTTGAAGTAATAAATAGCAAAAATTATAAATATGATTATGAAATAGCATTGAATATATTTGCATGGTATTAGTCCTTAAACAAAATTGTCTTATATCATTAATATTTCATAGTACTATTTTCTTCAGACAATTGAAATATCAATAGCAACAAAACCAAACTATTCAATTTTAAAATGGGCAAATGATCTGAACACTTTTCAAATAAAGACATACAATTGACCAATATATACACATTTCATATGTGTATTTATTTTACATATGCAATTAATCACCAAGGAAATTCAAATTAAAACCACAATGAGATATCATCTGATACCAGTTTGGATGACTACTATCAAAAAGAAAGTCAATAACAAGTGATAGTGAGGATGCAGAGAAAAGGGAACTCTTATACACTGCTGATAGAAATGTAAGCTGGTGCAGTCATTATGTGGATAGTATATAGTTTTCTAAAAAAACAAACAAAGAAAACTACAAATAGAACTATTATATGTTCCAGCAATCTAACTACTGGGTATTTATCCAAAGAAAATAAAATAATTATATTAAAGAATCAGTACCTCAATATTTATTGCAGCAATATTCACAATGGGCAGGACCTGACATCAAATTAGATATCCAACAACAGATAAATGTATACAAAAAACGTGTCTATATACACAATGGAATACTATTTAGTTTTAACAAAAATAAATTCCTTTCATTTGTAGCTATATGGATGGAAATAATGGATACTATGTTAAGCAAAACAAACCAGGAACAGAATATTAAATATTATATTTTTTAATCATATATGGAAACTGAAAATATCGCACAGAAATAAAAAGTAAAACAAAGGATACTAGAGGTTGAGAAAACTAGGGAGAAGGGAAGGACTGAGTGAGGTTTGTTAAATGATACAAGATTACAACTAGATGAGATAAATAAATTCCAGTGTTCTATACCTCTGCAAGATGACTATAGTTAACTGTATATTATTAACTGTATATTGCATAATTTAAAATAGCTGAAAGGAGGAATTTGTTCCCAAAACACAAAAAAGATAAATGTTTGAGATGATGGATATGCTAATTACCATGATCTGATCACTCTTCGTTATATGTATTGAAACATTGTATACCCCTTAAATGTGTTCATTATTGTCATTTAAAAATAAATTTTATTTTAAAAATATCTGATTTCTAAAGTAAGTGTTTTCAAATGTGATACTTAGATCACCGTATTTTGACACTAATTTAATTTTTTTTAATTGTTTAGTCTGTAGTTGAGAAGTTTCAAATCTTGTGTTATTAGTTCAATTTCTCGAGAAAATTATAACTATATTAAAAGAAAAATAGCTATACTTAACTACATATCGATTTATTCATAATGCACACATTAATACTATCATTCTGAAATTATAACAAGTAAAATATTTTCTAGATATTTTAAATATTTTTGAGCCTATAATATTTTGAAGTGTATATTTATATGCTATATATTTGTTTATAATTATATTTATATAAATATATATAGGAACATATTTGTGTATGCATATTTATATATTTCAGATAGATTGGATATGATGACAGAGAATGCAAAAATGATTTTTGGAAATTTAGAGTGGAAAAAATGTTGTCTTATTTTTACATCTTTAAACACTTATGTTCTCTGAAAGCCTATGTGCATATGTGTGGCTGTTTGAGAGTGTGTATGCAAGCATGCATATACACAGGGTATTTAAAAAATGTATACACATTTTAATAAAGAAACAAACTGTATTAAAATTGTAATACTCAATATATACTGGTAACAAAAGATGAATACAAGTCACATTTGACTTCTGCAATTACAGGAGTTGTTCAAAGTAGTTACCATCAATGTCCAGACATTTCTGATTATGGCAAACTAAAACTATTACATAGGTAACATCAATTAAGATAAGTATACTATTTTTGGCATCCTCGGTATATTTGACAAAGAGATGAGTGATATTATAAATATTAAAGTAAACATTAGTTAAAATATTTAAAATACTTCATTTATTCATTTTAAAATTGAGAGACTTTAGATTGCTTAGTCTCTAGAACCATTTCAATTCTCAGATGCTGTGCATAGATAACAAAATATCCTCTTTAAATCTCTTAGATTATGCACATATTTGACAAAATATCCTTGGTAAATTTGACTGTATATGCACTCGGTAGGTATTTACCACTAGTCAATAAATAACAAAGATCTCCTTTACAGACTTATCATCCCAAATGTATATTATTGAAGTTTCCTAGGGGAAAACAATGATAAAATGTTGACTAACTAATACCTGTTTCTCCAAATAATATAGCTCATGTAATGGTCTATAAAGGGAGTATTGTTGAATTAAACCACATACTTTTAATAGTATGTACTCAGCTACTTGTGATGAATATACCTTTCTCAAAAGAATAGTTTCTGTGTTTTCATAACTAATCTTGACTGACATTAACTCAGGAAGTTTGTGTGTTTTTGTAGGACTAAAAGGAGGCATTTGTTGTGGCAAAAAATAATGGATACACACACACATACACACACACACATACACACACACACATAATGATGGATACAATACATGATATTTATTTTTCCATTGTGCTATATCCCCTTATCCCAGTTGTTCCACCATATTTTTCTCATATCAATCATTCCCTCACTGCTGGTAGACATACTTGAGTTTACAAATACCTCAAATATATATATATTGAATCATGGTCTCATTCTGTCAACCAGACTGGAACACAGTGGCACTATCATGGCTCACCACAGCCATAATCTCTTAGGCACAGGCGATCCTTCCTCCTAAGCCTTCTAGAAGAGAGGAATACAGATGTGCCACCATACTTCACTAATTTTTTTTTTTTGGTAGGGATGAGGTCTCCCCTGTTGCTCAGGCTGGTCTCAAACTCCTGGGCTCAAGTAGTCCTCCTGTTTTGACCTTCCAAAGTGCTGGGATTATAGGCATGAGCCACCATACCTGGCCTAAATGTGTTTTAATTAATTTACTTTTTCATTTACATTTTCTGTAAACCTCACAGCCTAAGACATAAAAAAATTGGAAAAGAAAATCTGCCAAACTTACACCATCTGTTATTAATGCTGCAGGCATCATCCTGCAATAATCATGTATACATTTTTAGTCTTTAAAATATCACTTCATTCATAGATTTTAGGAGTTACTATAAGTATATATGTAGTATATATAGAATATATACAGTATATAGTATATGTGTGTATATGACAATGTACACACACATAAAGACACACACAAACATAATTTCTGTAATTTTAAAAATTATTTTCTAATCCTCTTGTTCTGTCCAGCCAATGCTACTATACCCAATTTACTCTGTCTTCAAATTATGAATTCCGATACATATCTATTATCACATTTTAAAAACTATAATAAATTTTAAAACTGAACATAGGATCATATAAAATTAGGATCATATAAATAATGAATTTGCATTCCAAGTTAAGAAATCATGCATTTCTTTTAATGTAAACAAATTATAGAATAAACTCATATATTCACTTACATGTCCCTTTGCCACATATCTAGGTAATTAATTCTAGCTTATGGAGTCTTTAGCAGAAATAGCATTTGACACTTCATAGATTACTTATAGATGCCTCCATTTTATTAACATGTCTGTGCATTTGGTGTGAAAAAGGGTAATTGCTGAAACTGGTTCAGAAAATTGAACATTTATATATAAAGAAGTTAAACGCCAAAATAAAATATGACAGTTTATTTAACGTAGACGTCTTCATAATTATAGAAAACAGTCTTCATAATTATAGAAAACAAATAAAAACTGTTAGAGAAAAAATCAAGTACAAAAAATATACATACATATTCTGGGTACATTAGCTATAATATTACTATCATAGTTACTTGTTGAAGTATAGTGCTGTATAATATATGTCTCATTATACTTTATTATCTCAGAGTGTCAGCACTCTCATCCTATAAATAAGATACATTCTCAAATTACAAAATTATTGTGTGTGTATTTTTTGACAATTGTGATCCTTATGTCAAAATAAAGATTATGATGATATCAGCAATTTCCACACTAGGAAACAACATAGGTTGGTCAAGAAGTATTGTCTTTTGAGAGGGAAAAGTTTATTACTATCATAAGCAATTGAAAGGACAAAAAATGAAGTCTATATACCCAATGAGCAGCCATCTTAACATTTCTTAGCTTTGTCATGTTTTTCCAACATTTTACTTTAATTTACCCTCTGATAACTAGTCAAAGAACAGATGTCTCAGAGGTAGCTATTGATTATTACTTTACAGCCTCTCCCCAACTTGTCTTGTAAATAAGTTAACCTAATCAGTCCTTTATGACCTTCATGGCAGTCTCCCAAACACATGGCAACAGTTATATGACTAACCCATCCATCTGTCTGCTTTCCATCACCTGACTTCAGTACCTGTGCTTGCTAATCCCCTTCATGATAACATGGAACAAGTCACCACCTGATCACCTTAATGACCTATCCCACACCCAAGGGAAGAATTAAAAACCTCAACTTCAAGCAGCTACTTGCCATTGCTTTGCTTAACTCTGGTGTCTCCACATGGCTCCTAGAGCTATGGCTGCCCTGTTTTCTTAGCTTTGGCCTCCCCACCCCATCTTGGGGAAGGTGAATCTCCTCTCTCTCTCTCTCTCTCTCTCTCTCTCTCTCTCTCTCTCTCTCTCATTTACTTTCTAGCCATTGTTTTTTTAAGCACTGGTCAGGACATGTGTTCTTTGAGCTATGACCACCATGTTTTCTTAGCTTTGATTCCCTCTGCTACTTTGGGGAGGAGAATCTCCTCTCTCTCTCTCTCTCTCTAATGTACATTCTAATAAACTATATTTTTCAATCTAATGTATGTGTAATTTTTGCATCTTTTGCATAATACTGGATTGCACA